ACTGCATGGAAAGATAAAAGATACAAAGACCGTGCCTTTCGTGAAAGCAGGGCATATAAACCTGGGAAAGAGTATTTCAGATCCAATTAGAAAAACACTCAGCAAAAATCTTCCAGAGGAAGAGGAAATAAGCCAGGGAAAAACTTCTGAACGTGTGCCGGCCCAGCCAGGAATTACAGGGGGAAAACTACATCTCTTTTATCCTGTCTGGGTCAGAAGCGTAACAGACGCCTGGGTCCTATCAATATTGGCCGAAGGATACAGGTTAGAATTCGAGGCCATTCCAAAAAAGGATGTGTTTACTCAGTCTCGGGTAGCCAAAGGAGAAAAAGAGACAGCTATGAGGGACTGCATCTCGAAACTACTAAAAGAACAGGTAATAGAATACGTCCCAGTAAAAGAACAAAGAAAGGGTAACTATTCTACGGTTTTTCTAGCCCCGAAACCTCAGAAGAAGTGGAGACTGATTCTGGACTTGAAAAAATTGAATTCGAAACTAAAAAGAAAAACATTCAAGATGGAATCCATTTCAACTATTGTACCAAACATCAGTATGGGGGATTGGATGACGTCTATCGATTTTAAAAGATGCATATCACCAGATTCCAATCAATATATGGCACAGAAAATTCCTCAGATTTTGTGTATTTGGAAGACTTCAATTCAAAGGACTTCCATTTGGACTAAGCCTGGCTCCGAGAACATTTTCAAAGGTACTCATAACATTGGTAGCTGTAATCAGAAAGAAAGGGATAGAGATATACCATTACTTGGACGATTTTCTGATTAAAGGTCCATCCAGACAGAAGATAGCTCTCCACACTCAGTGGGCCATAGAGATCCTCGTGAACCATGTTTGGAAACTGAACCTGGAAAAGAGTATGACAGTTCCCTCTCAGAATATAGTATTCCTGGGGGCTGCCATAGATACGATTATCGGGCGAGTAACTTTATCCACAGAAAGAATGGAGAAGATTCGGATGAAGATCAAGAATCTTCACGACAAGAAATATATTACAGCAAGGGAATTCATGAGCCTCATAGGATCTCTTACATCGACTGTAGGACTGGTGAAATGGGCCCAGTGGAAGATGCGTCCCATCCAAATGCAGTTTCTGAAGGAATTCAAGAAATAAGAGGGGAACTGGGATCAAAAAATTCCCATTTATCAAAAAACTATAGACGACCTGTCATGGTGGAAGGAAAAACAAGATCTTATCCTTGGGTTTTCCTCTGGAGGATCCCACGTGGATAACAGTTACTACAGACGCAAGTCTCCAAAGATGGGGTGTGCATTTAGAAAACGAATGGATACAAGGTACATGGACACAGAGAGAGAGAAAGTTGCACTCAAAACTCAGAGAACTAAAAGCAATATTCTATGCCCTGCAGGGATTTCGACAAGTTATAACAAATTCTTGGGTAAGAATCCAGACAGACAACAGAGCAGTGGCCTCATATGTAAACCGTCAAGGTGGGACCAGAAGCAGTGCTCTATTGAGGGAAATATTCCCATTGATGGAATTAGCTCAAAACAGCCTACAGGGCCTGCAAGCAGTATATCTTCCAGGAAAAGAAAATCTGATGGCAGACTACCTGAGCAGAAAGAAGATTCTATCAGGAGAATGGCAATTGAATCCGGAAATATTTCATCAGATATCGCTAAGGTGGGGCACATCCCAGGTCGACTTGATGGCTTCATATCGGAATGCTCAAGTCCCGAAGTATTTTTCCCTAAAGGCAGAATATCAATCAGCAGGACAAGATGCCTTTTCCCTTCCCTGGGACTTTGATCTGGGTTATGCGTTCCCTCCCCTGCCGATGATTCACAGATTATTGAGAAAAATCCAGAAGGAACGAAAGGCAGTGATTGCCATAATTCCAAACTGGCCGAGAAGACCATGGTTTCCACTCTTGAACAAAATGAGCTTAGGTCCTCCATGGCCTCTTCCTCAGAGTACAGATCTGTTAATACAAGGTCCAGTGAGGCATCCCAACCCAAATCATTTGAAACTGGTGGCTTGGCTCTTGAAAAGCAGAAACGTATAGAGCAAGGATTAACAGAACCTGTTGTAAATACACTGTTAAAATCCAGAAACAATTCCACCTCTGCGTGTTACCACAGAATATGGGAAGTATTTCGAGTGTGGACAAAAGAGAAATCCAAGAATTTCCTACAGCCTTCAAATATAGATATTTTGGAATTTCTACACGAAGGTCTGGGTCATCAGCCTTGTCGGCCTTGTGTAACACCTCCTGGGCATCAGACCCTATCATTGCGAGGTTCTTTAAGGCATAAGACTTCCATCTAGAAACTATGCTCCTCAATGGGACCTTCCATTGGTACTGGATGTTTTGTCAGATTCCCCCTTTGCTCCATTGGATGAGTTGGGTATAACTAATCTGACATACAAGACCTGGTTCTTGGTGGCAATCACTACGGCTAAAAGAATGTCTGAAATTCAAGCCTTCTCCAGTGATCCAAATCACATTCAGGTTTTCATGATAGAATTATATTAAGATCTAGAATGGAATTCCTACCTAAGGTGGTTTCTCGTTTTCACTTGACACAAGAAGTGATTATCCCTTCTTTTTTCCAAAATCCTTCTTCAGAAGAAGTTAAGCTCCATCAGTTGGATGGAAGGGAATGTGTAATAAAATACTTAGAGGTCTCTAAGCTATTCAGGAAATCACAGCACTTATTTCTTATACCGTCAGGATGCAGAAAGGGAGAGGCGGCCTCTACTGCTACGTTAAGACGATGGGTTTCAAACACCATAAAAATGGCATACGAACTAAAAAATATATCTCCTCCGGAAAAGATAAAGACCCATTCTACCAGAGCATTGGCTACATCTTGGGCTATCTGGGCAGAGGTTCCTCCTGACGACAAATGCAGGGCAGCCACCTGGTCGTCTCCTGTAACCTTCATCAAACATTATAAGCTGGACTTCTTCCTCCTCATCCTTCGGTAGAGGGGTTCTGTCTTCAGTGAATCTCTCCATGAATAAATCTCTTGTTGCAGCAAAATTGTTGAGGTCTCCTTTTTTTCACCCTCCCTTTGTTGCGAAGCTTGGGTATTACCCATTAGTGATGCTGCCATGAATGGCCAGGAATACAGAAAATATTCTCCATACTTACCGTAATTTTCTTTTCCTGGCTATAATAAATAATAATGGCCACCTCTCCCTGCAGAACACACCACTGCTGGGGTGTACGACCGTTGTCTCCTCCCCCTGAAAGATACGCTGTTGTTGGGGCGCAGGGACAGAATTCCTTCTGCATCTCCTCGGCCACGACTCACCTCAGTTTCTGTATGCGTTGCTCTGTTGGGTTGGGTCCATAGAGAGCCAACAGCGCCTTCAGTAAGGTGTCAAACCGTACGTGACTGTATCAATACTCCAGGCTTGCTTGGTTTTCCCAGGTTGCTGCTCCTCGCACTAGGGAAGCCATCCCACTGCTGCCACCACTGTAACGGAACTCCCGTACTCCGACCGAGTACCTTCCATTGATGGACGTTTCCTAGCTTGCACCGAGGACCACAAGCACCGCACCGGACACCACAACCACCGCAGACTCTACAACCGCTGTAGCTTAACTGGAGTCTCGCAGTCTTCTGTCCACCTTGGATCAGCTTCTGTCCTCCAGGACCGTGTGGGGAAGACTTCTCCTCCAGGAGAGCGTATCAGGAACAGCTCTTAAAGGAGCTAAGTGATTAAAGCTCAAAGGATCCCCAGTGTGATTTATAGCAGTTCCCTCCAATAACGAGACGAGGCTACCTTTTGAACGGTAAAGAAGAACTATGTTTAATTAGCACCAAAGGGCCTTCTTTTATGGAGGTCTTACACATATAGGACCGCCAACAGGGTTTTTCAGAAGAACCAATAAAAACATTACAACACGTACAATAAAGTAAACCACTCCCAGCAGAAATCCTCCCCTCTGCCTCTGATGCAATTATCTCCAGACAATAGACTAACTTAATTATCACAGGTAGAAAAATACAGTATAAAACATATCACAGGGACCCCAAAACATGCAATAACCCCATATATCCTCGGAACTGGGGGATCTGGGTGTACCACATATCCAAAATTCACCCAGATCCGTTCAGTAGTTTGGAAGATACGGTTTAATGCAGATTCCGCAGAACATATACAGGCTATATGAAAAAGAATTACTGTAAAATGTGTCCCCTGTTCTGTAGTCTAAAACTACTGAACAATGTCTTTGTGCACCAAATACCGGCGAGATGGCACCGTGTAGAAAAGTCAAAACAGTGTCTGTGAGTTAAAATGCCCGCCATCCATTGTTCTCACCATGTGCTTCATCCATTGTTCTCACCATGTGCCTCTGATACATGAAATGGTGGCCACCCAGTAACTCCACAGTTTGTCTGGTAGTCTATCCAGCCGAACCAACAGATGAAACACATGGGGAACAGTGCAACAAACAAAGGGAATCATAAAAAATATGGACAATAGTCATATTTGTGCACAATCTCCAGTTTTGTCACAGGGCACAAATAGTGTTTTCAAATGCCATGTATCCCAGGGCCATAGTCAGAAGGTAGAAGGCGGGCAAGCAGCCCCCTCCAAGAACACGTGGCGAGGTCTGTTCTGCCACAGTAACATTGTGTAATTTTGCCTTTTTGTAACCATGTGGTTAATGGAGTCTTGTCTCTGTCATAGGAGATAATTTGATTACTTCCCAATTATCTCCAGGATAGAGAGGAGGGATTGTGATGTCACTGTGGGAGTGTTTCGTTTGTATTGTCTGTGATTGGCTAATATCCAATATGTGTCCCATTGTTCCATCAGGTCCCCTAGGGGAGTGTCCACCTGGTGGACACCTGCATAAATACCGGGCAGGTAGTGTTGTGGATCCAAATAATTATCTTTGTTATATTCAGAGGAAGCCCAAATTATTATTACAAGTGCACTTGGAGAAGCGAGAATTAGACACCAGACACCTGTTGGTATTCAAAATAAGCCTCTGCCGTTTTATTCATCAGCTGGATTTTATACATTAAAAAGTAAGTGCTTACGTGCAAATACTCACAGAACAGTAATAGGAAGGGAGTACAGATAAGACATAGGGAAGAACGTCATGTACACATAACAAATAAGTTCCACGGTATGAAAGAACAAAAAAATTAGAGAAGAGACATCTCAGGTGGGGGCTCTCTGCTCCCGGAACTAGACATATATGGTCTTAAGTGTCGTGTTAAGCATCAAGCATTTCCTCAGTCCAAGTTAGCCAATTTTAATATAGGATATCATTATATGACACCTATAAGCTTGAGCCTTGGAATCAAGATAAATTCTATCACAATCCCCTCTTTTGATCCAACGGTCACCCAAATGTCCAAGGTATTTCCAGGCCTGCTAGCCAAAGCCTGTGGGACTTTCATTTATTGCTTCACCACATTTCTCTTGGACTGAGAGACCTACAGAATCAGTGGAGGAGAGTTCCTTCATTTGTTAGGCGAGGTAACATCATAAAACTCTTCCAAAGTCAGAGCTGGAATGTAAGTTAAGGTACGACCAACAGTAGGTTTGTTTTTACATAGAGAGGTTAGTAGAAATGAGAAAAATCTAAAGGTTAGAAAAATGGACTGTGACGAGACCAATCTTGCCACATTGCATTGGAGAAGCCTGGTTGCTCGCCTGTTGCCTTTGGATTATGGCCCCATGTTTAAAGACTTCTGTTCCCCTTCAGAAAAGACTTATTCGTGCTTTTCTGCCTGGTGTTCGGTAGATCCAATCTACCGAACTAACACACGAATGACTGGACCACCTGGGAGCTGGAGTGTGTCGGCAATTAGCCTCCCAGAAGCTGCGGTTAACCGCAGCTTAATTGACGAATACTGGGTGGCCGCCATTCGTATACCGAACACGAGGTCGCGGCCATTTTAAACTCGCGCACGCACAGCGGTGTTCGACGCCCAACTCATGGAACTGAAAACAGATGCCTTTTGGCGCGAACCCCGCTGAAGCCGCCGACCTCCCTTCTTGGCCGGTAGAAGTGCGCGAACGGCCCTGTATTCGGTAGTTGTACCTGACTACACCATGCCCCAGATAGGAATCCCGTGGAGCTCATTCGTATGAGAACTGACTTTGTGAACACTTTGGCTCCATGGCGATTAAACTGTATTCGTGTGGTCTGAGCGCCATTCGCTTAATAATGTGCGCTCAGACCTGAGCTATCTGGGGATATGTTAAATGTATATATTTATTGTAAACTTTCTAACATGGGGGATTTTAACAGTAATTCCTGTATTGGTATCCCCACATGTATAATGGTGATTTGCCTTTGTCCTGGGAGATAATTGAATTACTTCTCAATTATCTCCAGGGCAGAGGGGAGGAAGCCAGGATGCATTGTGGGAATATAATGTGACTGTGTGTCCTAGATTGATGCTTGTCTGTCCTTTGTTACAGTCTCCCATTTGGTCCCCTAGGGGAGTGTCCACCAGGTGGGAGACCTGCATAAATACTGTTCAGGTAGCCCTCATTAAACAGACCACTGCTTGACTCTCAACACGGAGCCTTGTCTCGTCCTTGGGGGGATTTGCTGTATGCTGATAGAGACTGATTGCTAGGAGTGTAAGCCGCTTGGGTGCTTTTCCTATTTGTCTGCTAGCAGCTATTCGAATGGTTCCAGTTCGGGAGTTTGGAGTGCTATATTGTATGCAGTTCGGGAGATTGGAGCATTCCCTTATTTGCGGTTTAACCCTTTTATGCCTGGGGGTGCCGTTACATGGACATAATAACAAATATAGCTAATAGTAAAAAGTACAACATTTTCTTAATTAGTAAAGTCAATGGCTGCTCTATTCTCAAGGATTGCCTTCTTATTTGCCTGTTTGTCCATAAGTAGCTCTTCTAGGGCCTGTGAAGTAGCATTTAAATCCTTTGCAAGGGAACAGGCTACAGCATTAATTACTCGGGTAGATATTTATGGGGTCTATGGGTATGTAGGTACTTCCTCAAGAGTGAGATGGGGATAGGGACAGCTATAAGACTAGAGCCTATGGCGTTTTCATTACTGAGGAGAGGGTTGAGGCAAAAGGAGGTTAAATTAAAAGCCTTTGCTATCTGCAATTATATATTTCCGTGCTATGCATTATCATCTTCTGGTCTCAAGTCAGAGTAGCATATCTGAACAGAGCATACAATGGTAAAGGATAAGAACAGCTTCATGTCGTTGGATCAGTCGGAGTGATTGGCGTGTATCCATGTTGCTTTTCCTTTTAGTTTCACCGAGGTAGCCGTAGTCAAGAGCACTTGGAATGGACCGTCAAAGCGTGGTTCAAGTCCTTTCCTCACATGCCTCTTTATCACCACCCAATCACCAGGCTGCAGTTTGTGAGTTGCAGAATCAGAGTCTGGATCTGGAATAGAATCAAAGACTTGTTTATGCACCCTGCCTAATATGGACAATTACCCCTGCCTGCAGAAAGTCTTGCACAGATTGGGAAATAGCATCTTTCTGTGCTGGGCTTAGGGGGTATTGTTTTTGATAGGGAGGTTTGGCTCCGGGCAGGAGATTCACTTTGACTGCGGGCAGAGAGAGTCTGCCTGTATCTGTCTTCCCTGTAGCCCTTAAGGAATCAGGGATTGAGGACAAGTCAATGGTAGGTTCTGTCACATGACTGGGCATAGTGAGCGTTGCCAGAACATTTGAAAGAGATATCATTTGTTTGTCCTCCAAAGGCACAGACAATGTTACTTTTCCAGTGGGGCTATACTGGATATTTGCACTAAGAGCAGACCGTATATCACTGCCTAGTAGATTAGCAGGGGCATCAGTATATTTAGCAATTATTCTAGCCAAAATGGGGCGAGCTTTTAGGGCAACAATCTGTTTTAAATCCATCCAAGTACACTGGTAAGTAGCTTGAATGGTGGATAGAGACTGGACTAGAGTTAAGGGGGCCTTTTCAACATCCGGCAGCTTCTGTATTATTGCCAGTTTTTCACTGGGTGTCCAGGGCTTATATTCTTCCCAGTATTGGATACCTGAGCTCGGCTGTCTCTTCTCATGGTATACACTCTCAACTTTGGGTATCATGGGAGTAGTAAATTGTGGAGCTAATGGCCCCACTGGGGTGTCTATGGGGGCAACTAGGGGTTCCCTTAAGTCTGGTGGACGACCCTCCTTCTTGCCCATTCTTGGACCCTAGAGGTCCAAAACATTGATAATATGGTACACCTTTTCTGGTGGTTTCTCTACAACCACATTTAGTTAATTCAACAGCAGTATCATGCCATTTTTGGGCAACTTCTACTAATTCATTTTCTTCTAACCAACCTCTGTAATTTACCATAAATTCACTCCATATATGTGGGTCTAGAGTGCCCTCTGAGGGCATGCCAGCTTTCTTAAGTAACCTCTTAACATTCTTAATTGCTCCTTGTCCTTTGTGATTCTTGACAATAGTCAAAGCCGTAAATCCCCCTTGAGTGCTTTCAGAGCTACCCATCTTAAAACTTGTAAGGGTTAATTACTTCCTTACACAAGACAAACTGTACAAAAACAATGTATTATGACCACTGCAGTGGAATTTTCAGTCTTGTCTCCGTTATTCTAAACACAGATCAGGAGATCTGCCATTGGAGGATTCTAACTCAAATTATAAAACAAATGACAAGGCAAACAATAAAAATAACTTAAAACGCACAGATATATTCCACTATCTCAAGATTCCTTTCACAAGACATAACACAACATCCACCTGAAGATAACCATAATACCACAGAAAACAAGTTCTTTAGATCAGACGTTTTTAAAATCCTTACCCACCCGGACAGGGGTCTCAAAGAGCACCAGAGAGTCAAAATCATTTATTGGTAGAAAAATAAAAGCTTTTTCTTACCTGCTGCAGTGATTAACCGTCTGGGCTCCGAGCCAACCCTTCTGGGTCCGGATGAACTGGATTCGTCTGATCCCGGGTTTCGGCACCAAATTGTTGTGGATCCAAATAATGATCTTTGTTACATTCAGAGGAAGCCCAAATTATTATTACAAGTGCACTTGGAGAAGCGAGAATTAGACACCAGACATCTGTTGGTATTCATCAGCTGGGTTTTATACATTAAAAAGTAAGTGCTTACGTGCAAATACTCATAGAACAGTAATAGGAAGGGAGTACAGATAAGACCTAGGGATGAACGTCATGTACACATAACAAATACGTTCCAAGGTAAGAAAGAACAAAAAGATTAGAGAAGAGACATCTCAGGTGGGGGCTGTCTGCTCCCGGAACTAGACATATATGGTCTTAAGTGTCGTGTTAAGCATCAAGCATTTCCTGAATCCAAGTTAGCCAATTTTAATATAGGATATCATTATACGACACCTATAAGCTTGAGCCTTGGAATCAAGATAAATTCTATCACAGTAGCCCCAGACCTACTTGCACCTTTCTTGAAGCCTTGGCGCATGCTTGGGGGAAGGGATACCTACACTCTGGGGATTGCTATAATCACTTACTCCCCAGAGTAAGCTCTTGGAAGAGCTTGATTTGTTCCTGTTACGCTCTCTGGATTTAGGAGAGATTCACCCACTGGGAACTGGATCCAGGGTGGGTAAGAGACGCCGAAACCCCGGCGCAGCTGCATCGCTGGAAGTGGGGTCTGCAGTGCTGATGGTGTCGGTTGGTCGGTTGCAAGCGCTAGGAGCATCTCTTGGCCGAGGTACTCGGTCGGAGTGCCAGCGTGCGTCACATTTGATGGCAGTGGTGTGATGGCGTCCTAGTGCGAGGACCAGCAGCTCAGAGACACCGGTAACATGTGGAGTTACGGATTTATAATTGAGGGCAACACTAGCACTTGTGCAGTCCCCCTGTCTATAGAGGAACTCGAGAGAATGGAGAGACCTAGTGACCGTGCAGCGTCCCCATGTGAAGAGGAGTTTCTCTGGAGATTGTAGCAACACTTGGCCCAGCAGTATGGGCCTGTATCATAGGAGGGCATACTGGACTGGAGCGATACCACTCGGAAGGAGCTGTGGTATGAGGCCTTAGAGGAGGCCCAGCGGCGGCGGAGAGAGAGCCTTCCCAGTGACGAACAGTGGTTCCAGGTACTTGTGGCCCTGCGGTCACCTTTCCTAGGGGAGCAACCCCTGGATGAGTGGGTAATGGAACTGTGGGACCTGATTTGGAAGGAGTTGTGGCTGGATGGAGCGGGCACTAAAGTGGTACGCCACCCAGCGCAACCCCTGGATGACTAACCACTATCTGCCGGAAGGAGAGGATTATAATGGCCCGGGCTTACTGTGGGAGGCCTTTGAGGAGGGCAATGACTTTGGATGCCCCGCAGAATGTCGGCTCTGGGACATCCATGACATCAGGGAAACTCTGCTGGATCTTCCCCAAGTGGACAACCTGGGGCCAGTCCTGATTCATCTGGTCACAATGGAGTGGGAGCTGGAGCAGAGCTACCATCATCTGTCCAGCTTAGCACAGCAACCAAGTATACGACCAGGAGTAGGGACAGTCGGTCCTGCTCCCCAGCGGCAGTATACTCTGCAGGGAGAGGAGACAACCGGTCTCCTTCCCCAGCGGCGTCCTGAGTTCCAGGAGGAGGTGATGGTTGATCCCTCCACCGTACAGCAGCCAGCGTCCTGGGGAGGGGAGGCAACCGGCCTCCCTCTCCAACAGCAGCCAGAGGTGAGGGACCTCATAGACATAGGCCTGGGAAGACCCACACATGGCAGGCGGAGATGGGACCGAGGTCTCTCTGCCGGCCCTACAGGGATGCTGGGCAGCCGGCCCAGATCCCCAGCAGCAGTATACTTTGCCAGGAGAGGAGACAACCGATGGTCGATCCCTCCACCTTACAGCAACCAGCGTCCTGGGGAGTGAGGGCAACCGGGCCCCACCCCCAACAGCAGAGATACTTGGAGAGGGGGAAGACAACCCTAACCACACTGGCGCAGATGGGACCGCGGTCTCTGTGTCAGTTCTACAGGGATGCTGGATGGGCGGTCCAGATCCCCAACCAGCCCCGCAGGGATGCTAGGAGGAGGAGGAGGTAAGCGAAACTTCCCCTCCCCAGCTACATCCCAACCGGGTCCTGGGGCAGTGGATGAGCCTGAGATACCCACTGACCCCCTCCCAGCAGCAGAGCTGGAATCTGGGCAGAGGGCTGTCAGCCTCTGCCCCCCTTTTCCCCTGGTCCAGAGCCTGACTTACCACGGGTTACCCCAGCGGAAGAGCTGGCAGCAGGGCAGAGCATCGCTGGCATCTGCCCCCTAAGCAATACCAGCAGTTTGCCTGGCTGCACCAGAGAGACCGAGAGTGCTGCGCTGTCCCACTACAAACAGGCCAGTACCATTTATTGTTGGGGGGTTACTCTGCGTATTTTTCTTTGTGGGTGGGCTGCCCGACTAACCTAGGTACTGACCGGCAGAAGGTCAGGTACCTGTTTAGTCTTCCCCCCCCAAAGGGAAGATGTGTGACGAAGTGCCCTTCATCACTTGTGCCTGGATGGGACTACTGGCTAGCCTCCTGCCTTCCGACTATGGCCCATGTGCTGATAGCTGTATTTTCCCCTGCAGAAAGGTTTATTTGTGTATTTCTGCTGGGGCGTTCGGGACTTTCAGTATGTGAGTAGTGCTACCCCAGATAACTATGCCATGGAGCCTATTCGTGTAACAAAAGACTTTGGAAAAGACTTTGGCTCCATGGCGATTGAACTGTATGTAGCTGATCTGAGCACCATTCGGTAATAATGTGTGTTCAGATCTAAGCTATCTGGGGATATGTTGCATGTATATGTTTTATGTAGTAATTGTGACATTGTGTAATTTTATGTCTTTTTCTAACCATGCGGTTAATGGAGTCTTGCCTCTGTCCTGGGAGATAATTTGACTACTTCCCAATTAAATCCAGGGTACAGAGGAGGGATTGTGGTGTCACTGTGGGAGTGTTTCGTTTGTATTGTCTGTGTTTGGGACACATATTGGATATTAGCCATTGTTCCATCAGGTCCCCTAGGGGAGTGTCCACCTGGTGGACACTTGCATAAATACTGGGCAGGTAGCCCTCAATAAACCAGACCTACTTGCACCTTTATTGAAGCCTTGGCTCATGCTTGGGGGAAGGGATACCTACACTCTGGGGATTGCACTTACTCCCCAGAGTAAGCTCTTGTAGGAGCTTGATTTGTTCCTGCTACGCTCTATGGATTTAGAAGAGGTTCACCCACTGGGAACTGGATCCTGGTCGTGGATCCAGGGTGGGTGAGAGACGGCGAGACCCCGGCGCAGATGCATCACTGGAAGTGGGGTCCGAGTGCTGATGATGTCGGTTGGAGTGCTTGGAGTCCTCGGCAAGCGCTAGGAGCATCGATTGGCCGGTGTACTCGGTCGGAGTGCCAGCGGTCCGTCAGTCACATATGTGTATACAGATACAAACTATAGCTATATTGGAGAACAGGATGTACGTGTATACAGATACAAACTATAGCTATAACAGAGAGCCGGATGTACGTGTATACAGATACAAACTATAGCCGTAACGGAGAGCAGGATGTACGTGTATACAGATACAAACTATAGCTATAACAGAGAGCAGGATGTACGTATATACAGATACAAACTATAGCCATAACGGAGAGCCGGATGTACGTATATACAGATACAAACTATAGCCATAATGGAGAGCAGGATGTACGTGTATACAGATACAAACTATAGCCGTAACGGAGAGCAGGATGTACGTGTATACAGATACAAACTATAGCCATAACGGAGAGCAGGATGTACGTGTATACAGATACAAACTATAGCCGTAACGGAGAGCAGGATGTACGTGTATACAGATACAAACTATAGCCATAACGGAGACCAGGATGTACGTGTATACAGATACAAACTACACGTCTAACATGCATAGGATAGGTAATTTGTTTATTTTTTTTGTGCTCGCAGTGACCTATCATCTACACATTTATATATGGGAGGTCTGATATAAGACCTTGGCTCATAGTAAATATCCTAGTTTAATCCCTTTGGCTTGGACTCCCTCTGTTTCCTTACAGTCCCTTCCGGAACCCACCCTTGTTTTAATTCACAGGCTCCTAGCTGAATGAGCCCCAACGGTCAGGTCTCTGTGTGAGCATCTGAAGGGCTTCCACGCTTCCTGGAATACTGGCAAGATGGTGAGACATGGGTAATTCATGGCATGTTTCCTGTTTGCCATTGGTTTTAAACTGATCTGCTGAACGCCAGGAGCCACTAAGTTGATACAATTTCCGGCCTTGGAAGTTTCACTGCATGTTGAGCTTTCATTATCTGTAAGTTTGGCTGCAGGATTAGAAGGGGAGGCTTGTGGGATAACTTCTTGCAATATAAGACGTTTGTGCACGAATCTGCCAGATGGTAAAGAACCACAGAAGTGAAAAGATTCACAAAATCTCATGCAAACATAGAATGAAAGAGACCCCTTACTAAATTATCCCACAGGAAAACACTATGAGTAACGGCTTATAGGGAGAGATTTATTAAGTATTATGTTGAGCTAATGGGTCTGTAAAGGGCAGGTTAGGTAGTGCAGCGTCAGTATCAGTAACTGGCAGAGTTCAGCGTCAGTATCAGTAACTGGCAGAGTTCAGCGTCAGTATCAGTAACTGGCAGAGTTCAGCGTCGGTATCAGAAACTGGCAGAGGGCAGTGTCAGTATCAGTAACTGGCAGAGTTCAGCGTCAGTATCAGTAACTGGTAGAGTTCAGCGTCAGTATCAGTAACTGGCAGAGTTCAGCGTCGGTATCAGAAACTGGCAGAGGGCAGTGTCAGTATCAGTAACAGACAGAGTGCAGCGTCAGTATCAGTAACTGGCAGAATGCAGTGTCAGTATCAGTAACTGGCAGAATGCAGTGTAAGTAACAGACAGAGTGCAGTGTCAGTATCAGTAACTGGCAGAATGCAGTGTAAGTATCAGTAACTGGCAGAATGCAGTGTCAGTATCCATAACAAGCAGAGGGCAGTGTCAGTATCAGTAACTGGCAGAGTGCAGCGTCAGTATCAGTAACTGGCAGAGTGCAGTGTCAGTATCAGTAACAAGCAGAGTGCAGTATCAGTAACTGGCAGAGTGCAGTGTCAGTATCAGTAACTGGCAGAGTGCAGTGCCAGTATTGGTAACTGGCAGAATGCAGTGTCAGTATCCATAACAAGCAGAGGGCAGCATCAGTATCCATAACTGGCAGAGTGCAGCGTCCGTATCAGTAACTGGCAGAATGCAGTGTCATTATCAGTAACTGGCAGAATGCAGCGTCAGTATCAGTAACTGGCAGATATCGTATCAGTAACTGGCAGAATGCAGTGTCAGTATCCGTATCTGGCAGAATGCAGCGTCAGTTTCAGTAACGGGCAGGGTGCAGTATCAGTAACAGACAAAGTGCAGTGACATTAACAGGCAAGGGGCAGTGTCAGTGTCTTGCAGTGTCAGGGTAAGGTGTAAGCAGGGTTCAGTGTCAGTAACAGGAAGGGTGTAGTGTCAGGCAGTGTCAGGGTAAGGTGTAGGCAGGGTGCAGTGTCAGGATTGGGTATAGGCAGGGTGCAGTGTCAGGGTAAGGTATAAGCAGGGTTCAGTGTCAGTAACAGGCAGGGTGTAATGTCAGGGTAAGGTGTAGGCAGGGTGCAGTGTCAGGATTGGGTATAGGCAGGGTGCAGTGTCAGGGTAAGGTATAGGCAGGGTTCAGTGTCAGTAACAGGCAGGGTGTAATGTCAGGGTAAGGTGTAGGCAGGGTGGAGTGTCAGGATTGGGTATAGGCAGGGTGCAGTGTCAGGGTAAGGTATAAGCAGGGTTCAGTGTCAGTAACAGGCAGGGTGTAATGTCAGGGTAAGGTGTAGGCAGGGTGCAGTGTCAGGATTGGGTATAGGCAGGGTGCAGTGTCAGGGTAAGGTATAGCAGGGTTCAGTGTCAGTAACAGGCAGGGTGTAATGTCAGGGTAAGGTGTAGGCAGGGTGCAGTGTCAGGGTTGGGTGTAGGCAGGGTGCATGCAATGTCAGGGTTGGGTGTAGGCAGGGTGCAGTGTCAGTAACAGGCAGGGTGCAGTGTCAATCAGTGTCAGGGTTGGGTGTAGGCAGGGTGCAGTGTCAATCGATGTCAGGGTTGGGTGTAGGCAGGGTGCAGTTTTAGTAGCAGGCAGTGTCATGCAGTGTCAGGGTTGGGTGTAGGCAGGGTGCAGTGTTAGTAGCAGGCAGTGTCAGTGTCATGCAGCTACAGGGTTGGGTGTAGGCAGGGTGCAGTGTTAGTAGCAGGCAGTGTCAGTGTCATGCAGTTTCAGGGTTGGGTATAGGCAGGTTGCAGTGCAGGTTAAAGGCCTGAATTGAAATCACACTAGTAATGTGTCCACTGGTTCTGCTGTGCACTGCTTGCATTTCTGACCACTGCTCTGTATCCTTGCTCCGCACCGCACTGCTTCATGTAATGTGCATGTATGTACCTGTCACTCCTGTGTCTTACCACGTGTCTGTCTTTGTCTTCTTCCCTCACTCGTTCTTGGATGTCCTCCCACCCCAGTCCAGCCATGGCAAGAAGAGCACAGTAAGAATGGGCAGCATGCTGGTGGGGTCTCAGGGCAAGGAATCTGACATCTATATTGTTCAGTATTGTTACAGAATCTGTTATCCCCACTTCTTCCGTGATATTGATCTACTAATCTTCTTTTTATTGTGTGAAAGGTTAGTAGAATCACAACACCGCTAGTTAGTCACAGAAAGAATATGGGATTCATAAATGACTTACCCAGATATCTCAGGAAATCTCATGCTATCTGTCAGCAGCCCCAAATAAAGCTATAAATCTTTATAAAAAACATTAGAAACACATGGTCTGCATACAAACTATAGTAATTCCACTCAATGCTATAAAAAACAATAGCCTCTCTCCAATCCCTCCCCATATAGCCTCTCTCCAATCTCTCCCCATATAGCCTCTCTCCAATCCCTCCCCATATAGCCTCTCTCCAATCACTCCCCATATAGCCTCTCTCCAATCTCTCCCCATATAGCCTCTCTCCAATCACTCCCCATATAGCCTCTCTCCCAATCCCTCCCCATATAGCCTCTCTCCAATCACTCCCCATATAGCCTCTCTCCAATCACTCCCCATATAGCCTCTCTCCCAATCCCTTCCTGTGGCAAACCTAGCCACTTGGACATTATACAGAAACTATGGCTTTAAGGGTTGCCTGTATGGTTGGGGGGATATGTATGTTCCTGGGTGTAATGTATGCTGACTGTATAGTGTTGTAGTGCCTACATTGGCTATCTGGCGAAAGCAGATAGCTGTATTTAATTTCGTTTCACGAATGGCACCTTTGTGGGCCGTTCGTGAAACGAATAAACCACCCTGTAATAGCCCACACATTAAGAGACGTGTGGCGCTTGTTAACCGATTGCAACAATGTTGCAATCGGTAATTAGAGGCTCTCCTAGGTGGCCGTCGTTCGACTACCAACCACGCGGCGGTCGGCCATCTTGGATCCTTTGTTCCTCCAGCGGTGTTTGGTCGTCGAGTGCGTGGTACTAAAAACGGCTACTCGACGGCGCGAACACCGCTGGACTTCCAGGCCGTTCGGGAGTTCCGGGCCGTTCGGTAATTTATTCCCCATATGCCAATCGGTCTTTTGAATACATGTTATGGTGAATCTGTTTTTCGTGCGGCGTTCGTTTTTTTTAGCTGGGATCTGAGCGGTAATCTCACGAATGATGCGCTCAGACCCCAGCTATCTACCGAACATCCATTCGTGCAAATCAACCTAGTATTCGTAAAGTTGTGAGTTTTAATATAAATTGCCGGTTCTGCTGCACGGAGGGATAATCCACTTAACGGTACATTCCAGTGGGAGGATCCCTCTCGTGCAGCAGTGCCTGATGGGAGAAATGCTCTGTACTTTAAGTTCCCCACATAGTCCACTCCTGGAATACCCCTGGGATAGGACTCAGGAAACCCCTTGCATGGGGAATTGTATAAATTGTGGAACCTGTGAATAAAGCCTCAGTTGACTCCCAGAACTGTGTTTCGTCCGGTTACTGGAGGATTTGGGATATTGCCTTGCTTTTCAGCGCTTGACTGTGGATTACCTTCTTTACCAGCGGAGATCGTGGGATCTCCGCTACACTCCCCATATAGCCTCTCTCCAATCACTCCCCATATAGCCTCTCTCCCAATCTCTCCCCATATAGCCTCTCTCCCAATCTCTCCCCATATAGCCTCTCTCCCAAACACTCCCCATACAGCCTCTTTCTAATCACTCCCCATATAGCCTCTCTCCCAATCCCTCCCCATATAGCCTCTCTCCCAATCCCTCCCCATATAGCCTCTCTCCCATTCACTCCCCATATAGCCTCTCTCCAATCTCTCCTCATATAGCCTCTTTCCCTTTACCATACAGACTATCCCTAAACCCCTCACCATATAGCCTCTCTCACAACCCCTCACCATATAGCCTCTCTCACAACTCCTCACCATATAGCCTCTTTACCAATTCCTTACCATATAGGCTCTCTTCAGACCCTTGACCAAATAGCTTCTTTTCCAACCATTTACCATATAGACTCTCTCCAAACCCTTGACAAATAGCTTCTCTTCAAACCATTCACAATATAGCCTCTCTCCTAACCCCTTACCATATAGCCTCTCTCTCACCCCTTACCATATAGCCTTCCTCCAAAACCTTCACCATATTGCCTCTCTCTCAACTCCTCACCATAGAGCCGCTTTCCCACCCCTTACCAAATAGCCTCTGTCCCAGCCACTCACCTTATAGCCTCATCCCAAACCCCATACTGTATAGCCTCTCTCCAAAGTCATCACCATATTGCCTATCTCCCAACCCTTTACCATATAGCCCTTTTTTCCAACCGTTTATCATATGTACTTTTTCCAAACCCTTTACTGTATGGCCACTCTCCAAATCCCTCACCATATAGCCTCTCTCACACCCCTTTCCATATAGCCACTCCCCAAACCACTTACCACGTAGCCACTCCCAAAACCACATGTATTCTCTTGCCAGCTGTCAGGTTATACCTGCCGTGCTTTTCGCCGAAAGAACCCACTTCCGGGTTCACGGAGCTTCGCCCCGCCCCTTTTTTCTGACGTGGTCCTTCCACGCTACATAGGAAGACCGCGCCAGATTCAAAGGGCTGGATTATTGTACAGGTGTCTGTAAAACTTACCAGCTGCTCTATTTTGAACTTTCCGTGTACCGAATAACGCTCTAGGACGACTACCCTCCTTCTCCACTCCTTGACCTCGGCTTGTTAAACGGACTTCTATTCCTCTACACAACTATTGGATTTAATTAAGCTCTTCAGTTCCAGAACTGCCTCTTATTTCCTACAATCAAGTTACTCGCTGTTACTAATAAGAGACTGTTTCTAAGGCTCAATACTGTGTCATTCAATCAAGTTACTCTCTGTTATTAATAAGGAACTGCTTCTAAGGCTTAATTCTACTTCCTACAATCAAATTATTCCTAGTTGCAATTCTGTCTTGCCTCAATGATAATTTTGCTTGCAGTTATTCTATCACAATTAATCTAACCTAACTCTGCATACATTCTCTGCACTATTCTTAAAATGGGACTGTTTGGCTTGTGCAAATCATCAGTGGCTTATTTTTCCTTGCAATTAACATCCTGCTTGAAGGTATAAAGCTACAGTATCCTCTCCTCCACATCAATAACAAAAATAGGTAAAACTAACAGTTACTGGAATTAAAATTTCTGCAGTTGAGTTCCAAATAAATTAGTATTACACCAGCCCTTCTCCAAATAACCTTACCCCAAACGCCTTGCCATATAGGCTCTTTCCCAACCCCTTGCCAATTTGTTTAATTCTAAAGCTGGTATTAAGTAGCACTATTATGTACTGTGCATGTGCACAAAAACATTTTAATAGTTTTGTATAAAATATAAAATGCCAGCTTTTGAATTTTGCATAAATGTTTTTAGCCAGTGGTATTTCTGTGCCGATGGAGTTTATTGACCTTAGACAATTGATGACTTAGAGTTCTAACTTCACAACATCCTGTTCACCAACATAAGAACGAAATAAATATCTAATTGAAGACGTTGGGTTAATTCCACGCAGGATTAAATCATTTGTTGGGAGATTGAGTTCTTATGAAGCTCGGCACAGTTTCATTAATCTCTCCTATCGAAAACCTCTTTAATTTATTATACCTTGAGATATTATACATTTGTTAATATATATGGAGCAATGGTAGTTACATTCTAAGCACTAACTCTCTCATTGTATTTTATTGTAATCCTGGTGGATTCATTGTATTTTATTGTAATCACGGTGGATTCATGGTATTTTATTGTAATCACGGTGGATTCATTGTATTTTATTGAAATCACGGCAGATTCATTGTATTTTATTGTAATAACTGTGGATTCATTGTATTTTATTGTAATCACGGCGGATTCATTGTATTTTATTGTAATCATGGCGGATTCATTGTATTGTAACCTCGGTGGATTCATTGTATTTTATTTTAATCACAGCGGATTCATTGTATTTTATTGTAATCACGGTGGATTCATTGTATTTTATTGTAATCACGGCGGATTCATTGTATTTTATTGTAATCACGGTGGATTCATTGTATTTTATTGTAATCATGGCGGATTCATTGTATTTTATTGTAATCACGGTGGATTCATTGTATTTTATTGTAATCACGGCGGATTCATTGTATTGTTATCACGGTGGATTCATTGTATTTTATTGTAATCATAGCGGATTCATGGTATTTTATTGTAATCACGGTGGATTCATTGTATTTTATTGAAATCACGGCAGATTCATTGTATTTTATTGTAATAACTGTGGATTCATTGTATTTTATTGTAATCACGGCGGATTCATTGTATTTTATTGTAATCATGGCGGATTCATTGTATTGTAATCACGGTGGATTCATTGTATTTTATTGTAATCACGGCGCATTCATTGTAACCATGGCGGATTCATTGTATGTATTTTATTGTAATCACGGCGGATTTATTGTATTTTATTGTAATCATGGCGGATTCATTGTATTGTAATCATGGCGGATTCATTGTAGTTTATTGTAATCATGACGGATTCATTGTATTGTAATCACGGCGAATTCATTGTATTTTATTGTAATCATGGCAGATTCATTGTATTGTAATAACGGTGGATTCATTGTAATTTATTGTAATGACGGCGGATTTTGTATTTTACATTTGTTAGTGACAGTAATGTTGGCTCTCACTGTGTCCAGTTAGTGTTTGGTTCTGTGAGGAGCATTCAATAGACTTGTCCTAAAGTAATGCTTGTGTTCCTTCATGAAGCATCACATAAGCCGACATGTACATGGCTATTTAGAACTGGTTGGAGAACTCGTCTTCTTATTCTATAATTTAATTATAGTTGGTTAATATTATTATTATTATTATTATTATTATTATTATTATTACTACCATTTATATAGCGCCAACAGATTCCGTAGCACTTTACAATATTATGAGGGGGGGATGTAACTATAAATAGGACAATTACAGGAAAACTTACAGAAACGATAGGTTGAAGAGGACCATGCTCAATCGAGCTTACATGCTAAAGGAGGTGGGGTATAAGACACATTAAAACAGTAAATAGCAATCAAATAAGGTGGGAGTGAAGCAGAGCTGGAGGAGAGAGGTTCACATAGTCCAGTTTTTTGGGGTGAATTTCTATAGGGTGATTTTTTTCTAGCTCGTACCTTTCTTATATGAATAAACTGCTTTATTGTGTTAGGGATATTCAGTAGATCGGGACTGGGACAACTCTTGGTAACTAGAATGTGTTTAAATACAGTCTGAGGATCTGTAGCTTATGTTACAATGCTCCATTCTAAATGTGTATAATATAACAGCTTTTCATACTGGGCTCTGGATCACGCATGTGCAACAAGCATAGGGGCTCCTTTCCTAACTGCAACTTTTATTTATTCCATTACATAATTGTCATTATATCACAGTTTAACCCCAAAATGTTGTGTAAAATAACACTTAGGAGGTTGGATTACTCAGTGTGTACTATGTGTATAAAGGGTTTTCAACAATTAATTAATTCATTGAGCAGGGAAGATGACCTTCTCCATTTCCTTAGTCTTTTACAACAGTGATTTTCTTTTCATTTATACTGCTGACGAAGTGTCGTTTAGCAGACGTGTAACGCGTTCAGGTTTAATGTAGATATATTTTTCTTTTTACAAGCCGCCCCCTTCCCCCTCTTTTTTACAGTGTGCGTTTTGCACTGATGTGGTTTAAACAATGCCTTGTGTATAACTATTGGAATAAATCAGTACAAGCTAGAAATTGTTCCCTTTTACTTTATTTGGAGGCCTTGTGAGTGCGGTTTGGATTTTGCTTTTTTAACTTTGGAATTGGTAGTGAGTAACAAACATTGCAGATCTTAAATTGGCACTGTAGACACCCTGAAGTGGTCTGGGTGCAATGTCCCTTAGCCCTGCAATAGTAATTATTGCAGTTACTGAGGTTATACAGAGGTATGTGAGACTATATAACCAATGAGTACAGGTGAGGGGTTATACAGAGATATGTGAGACTGTATAACCAATAAGTACAGGTGAGAGGTTATACAGAGGTATGTGAGACTATATAACCAATGAGTACAGGTGAGGGGGTTATACAGAGGTATGTGAGACTATATAACCAATGAGTACAGGTGAGGGGGTTATACAGAGGTATGTGAGACTGTATAACCAATGAGTACAGGTGAGGGGTTATACAGAGATATGTGAGACTATATAACCAATGAGTACAGATGAGGGGTTATATAACCAATGAGTACAGGTGAGGGGTTATACAGAGATATGTGAGACTGTATAACCAATGAGTACAGGTGAGGGGTTATACAGAGGTATGTGAGACTATATAACCAATGAGTACAGGTGAGAGGTTATACAGAGATATGTGAGACTATATAACCAATAAGTACAGGTGAGGGGTTATACAGAGATATGTGAGACCATATAACCAATGAGTACAGGTGAGGGGTTATACAGAGATATGTGAGACCATATAGCCAATGAGTGCAGGTGAGGGGGTTATACAGAGATATGTGAGACTATATAACCAATGAGTACAGGTGAGGGGGTTATACAGAGATATGTGAGACTATATAACCAATGAGTACAGGTGAGGGGGTTATACAGAGATATGTGAGACCATATAACCAATGAGTACAGGTGAGGGGGTTATACAGAGATATGTGAGACCATATAACCAATGAGTACAGGTGAGAGGTTATACAGAGATATGTGAGACTATATAACCAATGAGTACAGGTGAGGGGGTTATACAGAGATACGTGAGACTATATAACCAATGAGTACAGGTGAGGGGGTTATACAGAGGTATGTGAGACTATATAACCAATGAGTACAGGTGAGGGGGTTATACAGAGATACGTGAGACTATATAACCAATGAGTACAGGTGAGGGTTTATACAGAGATATGTGAGACTATAAAACCAATGAGTACAGGTGAGGGTTTATACAGAGATATGTGAGACTATATAACCAATGAGTACAGATGAGGGGTTATATAACCAATGAGTACAGGTGAGGGGGTTATACAGAGATATGTGAGACTATATAACCAATGAGTACAGGTGAGGGGTTATACAGAGATATGTGAGACTATATAACCAATGAGTACAGGTGAGGGGTTATACAGAGGTATGTGAGACTATATAACCAATGAGTACAGGTGAGGGGGTTATACAGAGGTATGTGAGACTGTATAACCAATGAGTACAGGTGAGGGGTTATACAAAGATATGTGAGACTATATAACCAATGAGTACAGGTGAGGGATTATACAGAGATATGTGAGACTATATAACCAATGAGTACAGGTGAGAGGTTATACAGAGGTATGTGAGACTATATAACCAATGAGTATAGGGTGAGGGTTTATACAGAGATATGTGAGATTATATAACCAATGAGTACAGATGAGGGGTTATACAGAGATATGTGAGACAATATAACCAATGAGTGCAGGTGAGGGGGTTATACAGAGATATGTGAGACTATATAGCCAATGAGTGCAGGTGAGGGGGTTATACAGAGATATGTGAGACGATATAACCAATGAGTACAGGTGAGGGGTTTACACAGAGGTACATGAGACCATATAACCAATGAGTACAGGTGAGGGGGTTATATGAAGATATGTGAGTCCATATAACCAGTGAGTACAGGTAAGGTGTTATACAGAGGTATGTAGGATCATATTGTTTGGATATCATGAATCCCCGGCATTCTCTGCGACACTGAACACTCGCGCACCAAAGGGTGTTATGGGCAGCTGTATTCGGGTCCTATTGGCAAATCTTATGCACCAAATTCAGCGTTTAACGATGACTTAAATTCATCTGTCATGTGGGCCAATAGAAAGTAAGTCCAATAGAAAGTAAGTACTGCCTAAATATACTTACCTATCCCACTCCAAGGTGCCCTGTTGTGGTTCTAGTAGCCTAGAAGCACGTTCTTTGTATTTCCTATATCTGGTTTCTGAATATGTTCATTTACTCGATTCTCCTTATCTCTGGTATGCTTTGACCTTGGCCTGTTATAGCTTTTATCCATATCTCTCCTGACCGTGGCTTTCTCGCTGACTCCTCTACCCTTAGCCAAGCCACTCTGATGACCTGTATACAGCTTGTCTAATTATTGAGTTATAGTCTGCACGTTCAGGTCCCACACCGAGTCTGACACATGTATTGGGGACCTATGGTACATGTGTGGCAATCACTGCACTCTGCCTATTAGCCGCTTCTCATAGTAATGTATTAGGGACCCATGGGGCATGTGCGGCCAGTGTGTTTGTAAAAGCCAGTGTATGTATCAGTGTGTGTATGTTTGAGCCAGTAAGCGTGTATGCTTGAGCCAGTGAGCATGTGTTAGAGCCACTGAGCATGTGTGTAAAGAGCCACTGAGCATGTGTGTAAAGAGCCACTGAGCATGTGTGTAAAGAGCCAGTGAGTCTGTGTAAGAGCCAGTGAGTCTGTGTAAGAGCCAGTGTGTGTGTGTATGTATGAGCCAGTGAATGTATGTGTGTTGAAGAGTGATAGATATATGCGCTACAGAGAGGAGTAAGAACATCAGAGTGAGGAGAGTGATACAAAGGTGGGTTAGAGACAAAAGAGGCCAAAAAAGATAAGATACATTAAAGGGGGAAAGACATTCAAAATGGTTATAAATGGCACAAAAGGGTTAAGAATAGGTGGGATAGTGACTCAAAAGCATGAAAAGATTGTCAAAAAGGGTATAAAGTAAGCAAAAGACAAAAAGCCATCAAGATGCACAAAATGGGCAAAATAATGGGTAAGATGGGCTAATAGACAAAGAGGTGTACACTTGGGGTCGGCAAAACACACCTTCATCTGAATAATCAAACATTTTTGCACTGGCCCTGACTCTAGATCCCTAAAGCACGTTATGTGTGAAGAGTGTGTCCTCCTTTTTCATTTTGGAAATTCACACTTTACACTTTATTTTTAGAAATTGACACTTTTATAAATTATACTAGTTACAACCCCCTGACTAAGCAGATAACATATCCTGTTACTTCCTGGTTTGTTTGGCTTATTTGCACTGAACTCAAGAGGCAGCAATGGCCCAGAGCACCTGCCTTGCAAAGACTGGGTTCGGTAGATGAATCTACCGAACCCATTCCTTATTTTTTTGGTTCAGTAGATGAATCTACCGAACACCGACCTCATTAAGTTTAAGAAAACTGCAGGAATTAGCGCTCTCTCTATGTGGCCGTTCGTGCAACCGAACAGCACGTGCTGGAGAAAACAGCGGCCATCTTGTCGCACGAAAGGCGGCAGCGGGACCTGGTCGTCGAGTGTCTGGAACTCCAAGTCGGATACTCGACTCCGCGAACACCTGTCAGCTTCGCGAACACCTGCTTATTTTCACAGGAGAGCGCTGTTAGGTAGGTTTATTCATACAAACCCGGAGAACAAACGCTATCAAGGAGCCAGGGAAACCGTGGTTTGGATCATGTCTGGGTGTCTATGGATAATGAGTATGACGCTAAGTGTAATCCTGTCTGGGTGTCTATGGATAATGAGTATGATGCTAAGTGTAATCTGTGCGATAGGCGCTGTGGGCGGATCCTGTCTGGGTG